AGTATTGAGCACGGTTGTCAATGAACTGTTGCGTCCCTTTTTAGCGGTCTTAACTTCGCACATGTTTCTCAACAAAAAGCTCCGTTGGGCTCGGTTTTTTTACCTTTTTTATGTTTCTTATAAAAAATCATATAACCTACTTCCATAGCAAGAAATTAGATTTTGAAACATAATTTTTTTCTCAAAAAAATGTTGTATTGTTTTCGATGTTACCTAATTGCCGCCTGATTTTTCCACATTCTCCTTACAACAGTGTCTTGCGCACTGTCCCAATCGAATTTGTCCTATATATAAATAATTAATTTTAAATAAAAATAATAATTTATTTATAATTATATCAATAATTTATTAGAAATAAGCTGGAAATTAAAAATTAACACCAACCTTAAATCTATCAAACCATGCATCGATTTTAGGTATCCATTTAGGATGTTTGAATACCCAACTCCATTAAAATAATGGAATCTCCATCAATGATTTAAATGCCGATGATATTACTCAGGTGGCCTTAATGTTTGTGAACTTGAAAATAAATTGAATTAATGAAATTTTGATTAATTGTTCATAAATTATGTTAGAATTGAACTTAATGTTTGTGAACTTGAAAATAAATTGAATTAATGAAATTTTGATTAATTGTTCATAAATTATGTTAGAATTGAAAAAAAAACTAAAACTTTAAGAAACTTACATTGAAAGGTCGTCCTTCTAATATGTCTCGTACTTACAGGTGAATTGATTATGCTGTAAAGGCACATCGCATCTGCGCTGTGAAACTTCGCTGAAAGAGGCAACATCGGTTAAAGACGCAAGTGCCTCTTCTTGAGAGGCACCTATGGATATATCATCCTCGCTGCTAGAAGAACTAGCTGCGACCATACGTGAGCGATGAGCTATAGATTTCATTCTATGCATCTACATAATTTTATATGAATAATTATATAATTAAATTTGAATGTTAAAAAAATTCAACAACACCTTCCCTATACTGAAGACTATCCAAATTCACAAACCTAGAAATATTGACAATAACCACAACCAATTGACCTTATCTATCCTAATATTGTATATAACATAACGTCTTGTAATACAACAATAAAGTATATTCAATAAATTCAAAAAAATCTAGACTAACAATTAAAATGAATGAAAATAATTAAACACAAAAAAATAGAGTAAAATTACTAATTATTCTAACATATTCAATTACTAAGTCTAACGTAAATTCAACATTAATAACTACAATTCAACAAATTATTCAATTATTATGGCAATACAACAATAAAATATATTCAATATATTCAAAAAAACACAACTCATGCAATAATAGAGTAAAATTTCTAATTATTCCAACATATTCAATTACTAATTCTAAGATAAATTCAACATTAACAAAACAATTCAACAAATTAATTAATTATTATGGCTATAAAACAATAAAATATATTCAATAAATTAAAAAAAAATATAGACTTTATGAATGAAATTTGCTGACCTTAATAATGTGTTTATTTCAAAACTTTATCTACATTACAAAAATACACCAAAACAAAAAACATAACAAAAATGAAAATAGCTAAAATAAAGAAAAAAAGTACTTAAAGTAAAATGAAATAGAGGAAACACATACCTTTTAATTTGATGAAGATTCAATTAGAGATTACAAGCCAAACAAAAAAAATATTTAAGGAAATGAGAGGGAAAAAATCAAAACTTAGAGAGGATTCACGAAGCAGATGAAAAAAATGAGCTAAAGGGGCGGTCCCTAAGATTTAAGCGCAATTTTACCGATGACTTCATTGACAAAAAAAAAATATTTTAAATTATTCCATTTGTGAAGTTTTGAAAATCCGTCGATAAATTTTGAATTTCACTTCATCGTTTTTAATTACCCTCCATATTTTTCACAGTCTGTCGGCAATTCTGTCGGCAACTTTACGTGGTCAGAGATGCATTTAATGTACCGCCCTTTGAAATTCACACAGTTCGTCAGTTATTTTGTTGGTAATAGTGACCTGTCAATAACATACCGGCGGATTGGAATCCATCTGCCAATTTGTTGGTGATTGTGGCATTTGCAGTAATTATTTTTTAACTCTCTGTGAAATGTCGACAGACAACATTTCATCCCCAAAGTCATCAGTAATTATGGCATTTTAGGTGATTATTTTTCAACTCTTTGTGAAATACCGATGGATTTAATTCCGTCTGCAAAGGCATCAGTAATGATGGTATTTCAAGTAATTAATTTTCAACTCTCTGTGAATTGCCGACGGACCTTAGTCCGTTGGCATGGACATCGGTGATAGTGCATTGTACAAGAAAGATTATATTTGTGTTGCTTATTTTTGCAAACACTTAAATGATAAATTATCCATCGCACAAAACAATAACAACAATGCTTAAACAATACATAAACCTATAAAATAAATATTTCATGTTACAACATATATCATCCATAATATATATTACATGAAAAAAATATTATAAAGTCAACACCTTTATTACAATCTTTGATATGGATATCATTATTTTCATCGACATTTGCTTGTCCGCTAGAGCTCAAAACAATATTCAACTCCTCTACGTCAACATCAACAAGACTATAATTGAAAACATAAAAAATTGAATTTTCTTCAAAGTCAATTGAATGAGCAACTTGATATGGTTTAACCATCTTTTTAACTTGAAAGACTTCATCTCGTACACTTGTATCTTCGTTCTCATCCTGAACAAGGTCGGCACAACCCTTGAATTTTGTTTTTAAAATGGATAACTAATCCACTCTTGATTGATCCTTTCTAAAGGAAGGAGTATATGTGTAATAAACTTGTTGACATTGCTTTGCGAAAACAAAGACATCATTTACGTTGTGGAGTCTAGCTTTTGAGTTGATTGACTATCATGCAGATCAACTCCGATTCCTCTGTCAGTCGTCTCATACCAATAACATTTGAATAAAAACACTCTATTTTGCTCGCTATGATATTGTATTTCGACGACCTCTTCTAATCTACTATAGTAATCAACTTCTAACTTGCTACTAGTTGATCTCTTAACACAAACACTAGTGTTGTATATCTTTCTTCCATGCCCATATTCTTCACTATGGAACACATATTCATTGACAAAATACCTATTGTAGCACTTAACTTTTTTTTTTCCAGGGTCTACGCTTAGTGAAGACAATGACTTAGCAACACTCCTTCCTATTTGATAAAAATTAAAATGGACCTGTTAAACAAACTATTAATTATTTTAAAACAACACATGTAATTTGATAATTCAATAAAGTTTCAATAATTTACAAACAGATACAATTTTATAAAATCTAAAACAAACCATAACAAGTACAAAATTATACATTCATATACTATAAGTTTGTTTGAGAAATAACAATAAAATATGTACATATACTAAAAAAACAATAAAATTGACATTTAAATGTTAAAATTATAAAGATAGAATTACTTGCAAAAACTGATAAAATTCATCGTTAAATTAAAACACGGATGTTGTGACCCCAAAACTTTAAGAAATATGACTTGTTGTGCTGAGAAGAGGGTTTTTTTTTTTTTTTTGGGGGGGGGGGTGTGAGGCTAGTTGTTTGTAGTAGGGGAGAGTTGAGATGGGGAGAAAAAGGAGAAATAGGGGAGGGTCGGCAGAACAGGCATATATTAACTTTTGCCAACACATTCACCGATATAATTATTTCGTCTATGATTCCAATGGCTATTTTGACGGTAAACAGGGCATGTCACTGTATGGAGATTTCGGTTTGAATCCCTTGGTGATTTTGTTGGCATTTCAAATTGTGAATCAGTCACATCACCATACGGAGCTGCTGTTTTGAATCCCTTAGTGATTCCATCGGTAACATCACCAGCAAAAACCTTCACATCAGCGAACCGTTTTTTTAAATTTTGAATATTTTATCTGTCATTCTATCAGCAAATACCGATCAAATATGTCTGTCAGTATATACTAGTGGAATTATGAATAGAAAAAATACCATCGGTAATTGTGACCTTAAATTATCAAATTACCAACAGAAGTATTTCATCGGTAATGCGTTAGTATTAAATGAATTTCTGGTAGTGAATATGTTTTAATGTTATTTAAACTATTTTTTTTATCTCTTGAAATCTTAGTTTTCTTAATTGGAAATAAAAAAAAGTTGTTGGCAAGTTTTTCAAATTAGAGCCAAACATTTAAAAATCATGCAAACAAATAAAACGGTTTATCAGTAGGTGTTGAAAATTGCTTTCCTTACAAATAAACAACAAGACAATGTAATAAACATGCATGTTCTGTACCCATTCCCACGATGTGATCAACTATCGCTTGTAGAGATTGTGGTTTAACTATTATTTTGTTATTTTTGAAAAAAAAATTTGAAATTTTTTATGTAATTTACATTTTTTTACTATACTAATATCAAAAATCAATTTTAAAATTTTTAAAAATATATTATTTTAATATATTTATAATTAAAAAACATTTTAAAATATAATCTTCATATCACTCCTAAACACTTCCAAACAGAAACTAATCTTTTTTATACCTCTAAAGCATAAATAATAAAAAAAACACACCCTAAAAAGTCTATATGATAATCTATATTTTTATCATAAATCAAAATAAGATGTTTAAAAATATAGTAATAATTATTTTTAAAATATTTTTTGTTTGAAAATATATTAAAATAATATTTTTTAAAAATTAGTTTTTATATTAGCATATTAAAATAATTTAAAAATATATAAAAATTTAATGTTAAGTAAAAATTTAAAATTTAAAATTTCATGAAATTTAAGCGCCAAAAAAACCACCTACGATGAATCTTCATCATTAACTAATTTATGAAAAATTAAAAAAGCATGGCTATCTCCGGCCACAAATATCCATGACATTGGAGAAAAAAGAAATTAATATTCACGCCTTAGCGACTATAAATACTCGGTGAATGAAAGTAGCAAGCTATCATTCTTGCAGACAGCTTGTCTCTCTTTGTTTACCTCACCTCAACATACGTGTATTAACGCCAGCAATTACGACTGCATCAAAAGTTAAAATTCTCTATAAAAATTTGCTCTCTCAAAAACATATTCTCTTCTTGAAATTCTTGGTTGCAAACTCGTGGTGAATTAATTTGAAGAAAAAATGGTTTTCAAGTTGAATAACCTTTTGTTGTCTAGAATAGCAAGCGGCAACGGACATGGTGAAGACTCCCCATATTTTGAAGGCTGGAAAGCCTATGACAGTAATCCCCATCATCTCACGGAGAATCCAAATGGGGTTATCCAGATGGGTCTTGCAGAGAATCAGGTAAACTAACTAGCTGGGTTGAATATGATGTTTTAATTTGCTGGTTCTTGAATTTCCATGAAGATTTTTCAGCAGAACATAGTCACTGATTTTTGTTTCTATATGAAATGCAGCTTTGCTTTGATTTGATTCAAGACTGGCTCAAAAACAACCCAAAAGCCTCCATTTGCACTCCTGAAGGAGTTAATGAGTTCAGAGAGGTAGCTCTCTTTCAGGACTATCATGGCCTGCCAGAATTTAGAAATGTAAGGAAATATAAATTAATTAAGAAAAAAAAATGTTTTGTTATCTTTAAGTATTATGTGTAATAGCTAAATAATTATGGACTTTACGATACAGGCTGTAGCAAAGTTCATGGAAAAAGTGAGAGGAAATAAAGTTACATTTGATCCTGACCGCATTGTTATGAATGGAGGAGCTACCGGAGCTCATGAAACAATTGCCTTTTGCTTGGCAGATCCCGGCGAGGCATTTTTGGTACCTACTCCGTATTATCCAGGGTAGTCTACCATTTACTTTACCTTTTATTTTCTATCTTCTTTATTCTAATTTATTGTAAATATTCTTCAAATAAAGGTTGATTAGTTGAATGATTAATTATAACAGTAGTAAGCTTCACCTTGACATTGTGCCCACCTATATGTGGTGAGTGGTAAGCCTTGACCTTTTCTTTCCTCCATGGCCAAGAAGGGGAGAGTCTCAAGAGGAAAGTGGGAGGGAGGGTAACTGCAGAGAGATTAATTATAAATATTTGACCAAAATGAAAATACTATAGATTAATAATGAAAATACTATAGATTAATTTATCTAGACTTTGGCAACCATATCATTAAGTGCATACAAGTACCGATAATAAACAATTTGTAATGTTAACATCTTAAGCTATTAAAGAAATGCCAGAATCAATAGTTTTCAGACCTGCTTGTATAATTACTTTTGTGGGGGCATGAATATATACAAGTTGGGGTCCCAAAAAGTCATCAAAACTACACTTTGATTCTTCTCTGTAGCAAGGCTTATGGTGTGTCAGAACGAAAAATGCCAAACTAGGGGGAGGAAAGTGAGGCCAATCTTCTGCATTGGTCTGGTCTCCATTTATTTTGCTTGACTTTATAGTTCAGACATATATGTCTCCGCTATTGACTTTTGTGGAGGATAATTCCCTCGTTCCTTTTTCCTAATTTCTATAGCTGTCATCCGACAAAATGCTTTTGGCATATACGTAATTGAATTAAATGACAATAACTTTGCTAAACAAACTTAACATGAATGATTTGAAAGTGGTAGTAGTAGTGTTCATGACAGCAACAATATTAGTAATTTGTATTACTAATTAATTTTTGTGCTTCATTGCAGATTCGATCGAGATTTGAGATGGAGAACAGGAGTAAAACTCATTCCAGTTGATTCTGAAAGTTCTAACAACTTCAAGGTAACAAGAGAAGCCTTGGAAAATGCCTACGAGATGGCAAAATTAGACAACATCAAAGTAAAGGGCTTGCTCATAACCAATCCATCAAATCCGTTGGGCACCATGCTAGATAGGGAAACTCTAAGAAGCATTGTGAGCTTCATCAATGAAAAGAACATCCATTTAGTCTGTGATGAGATTTATGCAGCCACGGTTTTCAGCCAGCCTGATTTCATTAGCATAGCAGAGATACTACAGGAAGATATCGAATGCAATCTTGATCTTGTACACATAGTTTACAGTCTGTCTAAGGACATGGGGTTCCCTGGCCTTCGGGTTGGGATTATCTATTCTTACAATGATGCGGTAGTGAGTTGCGCCCGAAAAATGTCAAGCTTCGGATTGGTATCCTCGCAAACTCAGCACATGATAGCATCAATGCTATCAGATGATGAATTTGTGGGAAAGTTCATTAGGAAAAGCAAAAGGAGATTAGCCGCAAGGCATAGAGTCTTCACTTATGGACTTGCTCAAGTAAGCATTAAGTGCTTGACGACAAGTAATGCTGGCCTGTTTTTGTGGATGGATTTGAGTGGACTCCTCGAAGAGAAGACATTTGAAGCTGAAATGGCACTATGGCGAGTTATAATCCATGAAGTCAAGCTCAATGTCTCGCCAGGTTGTTCTTTTCATTGCCCGGAGCCAGGGTGGTTTCGGGTTTGTTTTGCCAACATGGATGACCAGACCATGCAAGTTGCTTTGTCAAGAATTAGAACTTTTGTCAACAAGGATGTCGACACCAAGAAGCCTAAAAAGACCCTACGCTGGCAAGGCAGCCTTAAACTCAACTCTCCTCGAATATACGATGATTTCATCAATTCTCCGCACTCTCCCATACCTCAATCGCCCCTTGTCCGAGCAAGGACTTAGATGGGAATCTCAATTTCATCCCTCCATTCCTATATGCGTGTTGCTTAGGGAAGATACTTTGGTTAATTCTTTCTTATTGATCGAGATATGTATTCAACCCAACACAGGTTGTCAATTTCGTTCTGTTTTATTTGAAATAACCAAAATATTTCATATTAATTTAAAAAATAGAATAATTTTTATTTTATTTGAAATTTTGATATGTTCCAGATTTTTCGATTAAATTTTAGTTGAAATGTTCCGGTTTTATTCTACTTGATCTATTTTGATTTTAAAAAATTATTGAATCAAATTGAACTTGGTTCAATTTAATTAATTAAATCACCAAAGAATCTGTTCCGGTTTTATTCTACTTGATCTATTCTAATTTTAAAAAATTATAACCTGGTTCAATTTAATTAATTAAATCACCAAAGAATCAAAATTCTTTTTTATTATTATTTTCAATAATAATGATATTAAAAATAATATTAAAAATTATTATTACTATTTCATTAACAATGATAATAATTTTTTTTAAATTAAATTTATTACTAATATATATAGTTTATATTCATGTTTTTTTTTATATTTATACTTTATAAGAATTTGAGCAAAACAATGAATGCTTTATATCCCATTAACCGTAATAACATTAACCTAACTTTATATTTAAAATATTTGCGTTAGAATATTTTATTTTCATAATATTTTGATATTTTATTTAAGTTGAATTACTTTAAATTAAAGATTTATTTAATCTTGACTATTTAAAAGTATTTTAAATTTTAAAATTATGTTTTTATTGTATAATATATAAATAATTTTTCTTAAATATATATATATATACATATATATATATATATATATAGTGTAACCTCGAAATAATATGCCAAAACACTTCAAAACTAAAATATTCTATTCTAATTAAAAAAAAAATTGTTACCAAAACAGAATTGACAACCATGATTTCCATGTTTTTTTCACAACAATTCATGCAATTGTGTGTGGGTTTGTCTATCTTAGAGTGTATAAATTTATGGTTTCCCATAGAAATAACGACTATCCAGGGATAATTGCAGGGTCATCCCATCAACTACCAGCTTTTTATCCATGAATGTATGGATTTTATTATTTCATTTCATTATATCAATTGTTTTTATTAATTATACATGATCAGGCACTATCATAAAAAATAGTCAATTTTATTATTTTTTTATGGTAATTTTTTTAGAGAATAATATAAATAATATATTAGGATTTACCTAATAATTTAAGTTATTAAGTTAAAATTATTCTTTATCATGGTATTTAAATTTTGATAATCAAATAATCACGAGATCAAATTTAGATTTAGATCATTATTTGAAAATTTTAATTTAATCAATTAACTTAAGGTAAATGAATCTTTTTTTTTCTGAAGCAAATTTCTTTCTAAAATAATATTGTAGATGATGAATAAAAATTAAATAAATAATTTTACTTATATAAAAAAAAATCTAACTATACCATTATTAATAAACTTCTTTATACGAAAAATAATTAGACTTATCTTTTATAGGTAGGGTCTATTTGGATATATGGATGCGGTTACTTTTTAAAATATTTTTTATTCTGATATATGGATGCGGTTACTTTTTAAAATACTTTTTATTCTGAAATACATTAAGATAATATATTTTTTATTTTTTTAAAATTATTTTTAAGATCAACACATCAAAGTAAAATTATTTTTAATATCAGCACATCAAAAGTAATTCAAAATATAAAAAAATAATTTTTAATAAAAATTTATTTTAAAAAATAAGAAATGACTTACATTCCCGAACGCTCTCTTAATCGTACTATTAATCACTAGCAGTCTTGTAAACAAGTTCTGAGATACATTAACGGTACACTGGATCATAAGCTTCTCATGAAAAAGTCTTCTATAATTACTTTTCAAGCATATTCAAATGCAGATTGTGCAAGCAGCTATGATGTTCGAAGGTCCACTAGAGGCTTTGCTATATACTTGGATAACAATATAATCTCTTGGTCATCTAACAAGAAGCCTACGGTTGCAAGGTATTTCACAGAGGCAGAATATAGAGACATGGCTAACGTTATTATTGAACTTTTTTGGCTTCAACTTTTGCTCAAAGAACTTGGCATCAAGCTAGCAGCAGCTTCAATATTATGGTGTGACATTATTGGAGCAACCTACTTGTCTTGCTATCCAGTTTTTAGAGCAAGATCAAAACACATTGAGTGTGAATATTATTTTATCAGGAAGCAGGCATCACAAAAGCTTATCCAAGTCTCATTTATTTCAAATGAAGATCAGCTAGCAGATATTTTTACTAAATCTTTGTTTAGACAACGGTTTATAGAGATTAGAGTCCGGATTAGGCTCATAAGCAAGCCATGATATTCTTCTGTGTTTAGTTAGTGTATTTGAACTTAAAGGCTAGATTAGCTCAGCATAGTCTCATTTATTTCCAATGAAGATCAGCTGGCAGATATTTTTACTAAATCTTTGTTTAGACAACGGTTTATGGAGATTAGAGGCTGGATTAGGCTCATAAACAAGCCATGATATTCTTCTGTGTTCGGTTAGTGTATTTGAACTTAAAAGCTGGATTAGGCTCATAAACAAGCCATGATATTCTTCTGTGTTCGGCATGATGTATAGGATATTTTATCCTTTTATCTTATTGTAGCGAACACAAACTCAAACACCAATAATTATTGGTGTATTAATGAAAAGTATTCTTGTGAGCCTCATTTTGTGCAACTCTATCAAATGAAAAGTATTCTTTTAAGCCTCATTTTGCGCAACTCTATCAAATATGTATATTATAAAGGAAGAAGAGGAGGAGGAGGAGGAGGAAAAACCCTTCATCTATGTAGACTGTAAGGGGAAGCACTGTTCATTCGGAACCTTGTTTTTTTTTTTTTTAATTTATTCCCTGGGATTTTTTATACTTTGATCCCTCAATTTCTTTTTCTTCTTATTTGGCTTTTTTAAATTAATTTGATTTGAGGTTATTCTTGGTAATTTATTTTCCAGACATATGTATGGGCGAGGTATCTAAAAAATTTTTGTTACTCAATTAATTCTTGATTCCTTTGTAAAGCAAATGCCAAGACAGGTGCTAGATGGAGTTTCATCTTCAGTGGCATTCTAGAACCGAAGTCGTTCAGTCTTTACTAGCCTTGAAAGGGCTTGCGAGTTTTTGCGAAACAAAATTTGATTTAATTCATTTAGAATAATTAGAGTTTCAGAATCAATTTTGAAGCTTAAAGAAATATTTAGCTTTTTTTTAGGCCAACATCAAGGACTGTTTTCCACGGTCAAGAGGGAAGTTCATATGTCCTTTATTTAATTTTAGTTCCTCAATATTTTTTTCTCTTGATTTAATCCCTTCATATCGATTTTATTTGAAACTTCACTTGAACTATTAGGATCTTGTAATATCGATAGAGATTTTTGGTGCTTAATTTTGTAAAATAAAATAAAATTCAACTAATTTAAAATAATTTAGAGTTAAAGAACAAAAACTCAAACTGAAACAAATATAAAGATTAAGGGTAAACAAGCACGAAGGTGGGAGGTATCTTCAGTTTTCAAGCAATGCACAAAGGTTGTTTAATGACCAGATAGTGCCTTCCACGACTGTGTTAAAAGTACTCTTCCTGATGGTCTAATGTGTGTAAGTGGTGGCACGCTGGTGGGTTTTCAATGACCTTTTGTTTTTTTTTTGCCTGTCTCATCTCATTGGAAGTCATAAAAATTAAAAGATATCTTGTTATTTATTTCTTGTATCAATTTTAGTTTTAATTTTTAAAATGTTATTTTTTAATATTTAATTTTATTTAAATTTTATATCAAATTTGGTTTTTATTTTTATTTGTTTTCCTTCTTATTTGTTATTTAATTGATTTTTTTTTCAATTTCATTCCTTAATATTTAGTTTCATTTGAGTTTTATATCAAATTTAATCCTTATTTTTTTATTGCTATTTATTTATTTATTTTATTATTTTTTATTCCTTATTTTTTTTATTGCTATTTATTTTTTATTTTTTTTTTCAATTTCACCCCTCAACAATTTTTTTGATTAGGGATTTGACTTTGTAATTCTTTATGGTTCTTCTTTTATAAGATTTGACTTTGTAATTCTTTATGGTTCTCCTTTTATAAGATTAGATTAGTCTCGGTTTCATGACTCGAGTTATGGATTTCAAAGATTAGCATAAGTTGACTTTAGTTTTTTTTAGTTTTTTTTTTAATTTCATTATTCAACATTGAGTTGATTGAAGATTAAGTTTTGTGACTTTTTTTACTTTCTTTTCTATAAAGTTATCTTGATCTCGTGTATAGGGTTGCATGATTAGTGGATTATCTTGGGTTGAATCAAGGTTTTTTTTTTCACGACTTATTTTTTTAGATTTTTTTTAACTTTTTCCCTTCAATATAGGGTTATCTGATATTTTAGCTTTGTTTTTTTATTTAATTTTTTATATGTTATTTTGGTCTCACAACTAGGTCATGTATTTGGTAAATTGATTCGAGTGGAATCAAGATGATTTTTTTGTATTTTTAAAATTTTTTATTTAATTTCATCATTCAAAATATGATTTGATGGGAATTGAGTTTTGTCATTTTTTTATATTTATTTTCTATAATGTTCTATATTTTTATTTAATTTTTACTTTGTTATCAAATAAAATTATAAAGACCTTTTAATAATTTTGGTAGGATATCTCTCTATATTATTGATAAGCATTGATAATTGTGTGTTTGTGTGTGTGTGTGTATATAAATTATATTATTAAATTAACTGCCTTCATTGAACAAAGCCGAGTTAATCAAGTTATTAATTTTTCTTACTTTTTTAAAATCATTAGTGTTGTCTCGACATATTTGTTTTCTTCAACATGGAACACGAAACTAGGAAAATCTATTTATTAGATTAAAATCTTTTTTAGTCACACCAACAAACAAACAAATAGAATCACATGTGCATCTAAAGTAAATAAATATTCAGTTCTTATACATATGATTGTAAAAACTTTTACGAAAGAATTGACTAAAATAGAAATCTG